ACCAGTGGTACGCTTAACTGGGGGAAACAAGAGGGGGAGGAGAGGTCATCCCAATCGTTTGCAAAAAGAGGAAATTGCATGATTTTGAAAGACAAATATGTCAATTTTAATATTGTTGTAAATGTATAAGAAAAATTTTAAAGTGTTTAGATTTTATAACAACGAAAAACAGATAATTAGGTACGTACTTCATTGTAAATTTGTCATGTAAATCCACATAAAAAATAAGGTTTTAAAATATTTTAGATAACAAAAACCGTATGTTTTCTTAGATTAATGTGTGTTAAGCGCCAAGAAATTTTTGTAACATAAGCGATGAAACCTGTGGTTTTTAATATCTTGATAACCTGTAATCAAAAAGGTATGCTTTTAGAAAAACAATACCTAATATGTTTGTTGTTGTAATTTTATAGTGTTGAACTTTTGTTTTTAGTTGGCTGAAGAGGGGCAATAAATGCCCGAAACGTGTGTAATAACAACACGTATCAACTGAATAAAAACTTGATGATAAGAATTGCCAAGTGCCTGAAAATAAATACGATAATTATTTGTGTTTGAATTACTACTTCTTTTATGAGTATTATTTTTTTTCTAAATATCTTTATGAAAATTTTGGAGTCGCGTTAAATTCGGGGTCGCGTTATATTCGGGCTAATACGGTAATTTTATTTACATTTTTAGTGTAATCTTTTATTCGTCGCTTTATTTATTTTAAATTGACAAGTTTTTATGAGAATTCCCCCCAAAACACATTTGATTAAATTGGTTTTCTTTGCCATCGGTTCAGCTTAATGAATTAATCGAATAGCAACGAATATCCATTTTTACTCCCCGATTGTTATTCTGTCAAGCAATCAGGGTTAGTTTCTGGAAATCAAAAAACTATCACAAAATGGGTGTCGCCTTGACGTGGCTTTGTGACTTAATGTGTGAAAATTTTATCAAGTTTTACACGTAAGATTTTCCACAGACTAAGTACACCCGACAGAAGTATTTCGAAATAATTTTTATTACTGATAACCAGAGAGACTTAGGCTACGTCCTACGTGGCAGCGTCCAGCGACCGCGGGCGTAAACGCGCTTCCAAGCAGAGCGGACAAACCGGTTCAAGCAAATGTGTGCGTCCGGAGTAACCGTGTTTAGCGTGTAGCGACCACCATATGACGCTTCTACACGCGCGTGCAGGAAGCGGCTACCGAGCCAGTTTGATCGCCGCTTCCACTGCTCGCACTTCCAACGAAGAAAATGGCTGATTTTGAAGATGAATGTAAACAGAACGACAAATTGTGTATATATGTTGTATGTACTTTAATTAATAATCTTTTACGTAATTTAATAATTTCTGATTTTGTTAAAAAAATAAAACTTTTTAAACTTATTTTTCTATAAAGATTATTTATAT